AGGGGGGTAGAGGGTAAGGGTGGCAGGGGGAGGGGGTGAGGCACCTTCTAGGTTGAGAGTGGTGTCATGGAACATAGGGACTCTAACATGGAAGTCTATAGAGTTAGAAAAGATTCTCCATAAGAAGAAAATTAACATAGTCTATGTCCAAGAGACTAGATGGATGGGGAGCAAGGCTCGTGAGGCTGATGGTTTTAAGTTGTAGTATTCAGGAAGGGTGAGAGAGAAGAAAGGGGTAGGCATTTTAGTTGATAAGGATCTAAGGGAGCTAGCGGTTGAAGTTAAGAGAGTAAATAACAGGTTGATGGCCATTAAGATAGTCGTGGGAGGGTATACTCTGAACGTAGTTAGTGCTTACGTGCCTCAGGTGGGTTTGGACGATGAGGTTAAAAGACACTTCTGGGAAGATTTGGATGTGTTGGTGCAGGGTATACCATCCACCGAAAAGCTTATTATAGAGGGTGATTTTAACGGCCACATTGGGAGGTTGCTTGGGGGATATGACGGTGTGCATGGTGGCTTCGATTTTGGAGATAGAAATGGAGGAGGTACTTTGCTGCTGGAGTACGCTAAAGCTTTTGAGCTGGTGATCGCTAACTTGTATTACCCAAAGAAGGAGGAGCACATGATAACCTTTCGGAGTACGGTGGCCAAGACTCAGATTGATTATCTACTTCTCCGAAAATGTGATAGAGGTTTATGCACAGATTGCAAGGGCATCCCGAGTGAGAGTCTTACGATCTAGCATATGCTTTTGGTTATGGACTTACAGATCAGGTGGACGAGGAAGAAGAGGGCTATGTCTGGTATTCCTAGGGTCAGGTGTGGTGCATTAACTAAGGATAAGGCACAGGAGTTGGGGGAGAAGTTGTTGGCTATGAGAGCCTAGAAGAGTAGCGGGGACACGAGTTGTATATGATCTATGATAATAAATTGTATTAGAGAGGCGACAAGAGAGGTGTTAGGGTCTCGAAGGGTTCTTCTGGTGGCTATAAAGGGGACTGGTGGTGGAACGAAGAGGTTCAAGGGAAAGTGGAAGCTAAGAAAGCGGCATATTTAAAGCTATTAGAGAGTATAAACGATGGGCAGAAGAGTGCTAATAGGGAAGGGTATAAGAAGGTTAGGAAGGAGGCGAAGTTGGCGGTTACTGCGACTAAGAACGCGACGTTTAGTCGTTTATATGGAGATATTGGGGATAAAAGCGGGGACAAGAAGTTGTACAGGCTACCGAAGGTGAGGGAGCGGAAGGCCCAGGATCTGGACCAAGTGAGGTGCATAAAAGACGATGAGGGTAGAGTTTTATTAGAGGGGGCACTGATTAGGCAGAGATGGCAGTCTTACTTCCATAAATTCTTAATGAAGAGGGAGATATGAGCATTGTGCTAGAGAGTTGGAGTACTCGGAGCGACATTGATATTTTGGGTACTATAGACGCATACGAGTGGGGGAGGTTGTAGGGGTTGTACGCATGATGAGTAGGGGTAGAGCGACTGGGTCGAACGAGATCCCGGTAGAATTCTGGAAGAGCGTGGGTAAGGAAGGCTTGGAATGACTTGCTAGGTTGTTTAACGTCATTTTTAAGACAAAAAAGATGCCCTAAGAATAAAGGCGGAGTACGATAATTCCGTTGTACAAGAACAAGGGGGATGTCCAGAACTGCAATAACTATAGGGATATCAAGTTGTTAAGCCACACGATGAAAGTGTGGGAGAGGATGATCGAAGGGAGATTTAGGAGGAGTGTGTCCATTTCCGAGAACCAGTTTGTTTTTTTACGTATTTGACACACTCCTCCTCAACCTCAGAAAAAAAACTCGGACTGTATCAGAAAGAAAAGAGGGACCCGAACTCTGAAGAATTTTTTGGTGTTTAGCGTCTGATAAATCTTCTCATTAATTGGATTGATAATGTTGTATGTTATAATTGATTTAGGTGAGTTATAATAGGAGTGTATCCCGTTAAATTGGCAGTTTTCCGTTATTAAACAACTGGAGAGACCTATTATTATGTTGTATTCATGAATACATGGTATGAATACATGTGAATACAACGGCTGACAGCTGGACTGCCCTATTTTTTAGGCAATTTTTGCGATTGTATTCATGAATAAAGTAGCTCGAATACATCAAATACATTACCATAACAACTGAAAGGTAGCTACGGAATGTAATTATGTATATGACAGCTATAAGAAGTTAATAGCCACTAAATAATACTCCTTCCGTTTCAATTTATGTAAACATGTTTGATTGGGCACGAAAATTGATAAAAAATGAAGACTTTTAAAATTTGTGGTCTTAAAGAAGTTAAAATGGTGCCCAGAATATTTGTATGGTTATAAAAGTTTCTCATTAAGGGTAGAATTATAAATTTAAGCTAAATTGTTACCAAATTTAAAAATAAATCATTCTTTTTAAAATGTACCAAAAAGTAAATAGGTTCACCTAAATTTAAACACAAGGGAGTAGTCATTTATGAAAATTCCTCAAAATTATTTCACTTTAAGAGGTGAGAGCGCCAAAACTCGGGCGGCCCAAACATGTGAAGAAATGTAGGGCGAGAGATTGGAGTGTTGCAATTTGTATATAGTGACTGCAATAGTCAGTAGTTATCTAGTCCCACTTCTCTGACTGCGATCTTCACGTGGCCTGTTCTATCTAATTACATACTATTAATTCTTCTGACACAATTATTTCCCTTCTCAGAGAGAAAATCTTGGTTTCGTACTTTACCTTTCTGTTCTCTGCTTTTCTTGTGTGCCAATGGAAAGTAGTAAGAAGCAAGTGGGTTCATCATTTTCTGCAGATATTTTTGATTCCACCATAGAATCTACTCAGCCATCCAATTCCACCGGGATTTTCTCTTCACTTTTTCCACCACCATCTAAGGTATTTTATTTCTCTCTCTCTCTCTTTTTTGATTAATCTTTCTTGAGGCTAACTATGTTATATGGTGTTATTTGACTGGATATGGAGTTTTAAAATATTAGATTTCACTTGTTATTAAAGTTTAAATTTGATTTATTTAATGAATTAGGAGTGATGAAGAAATAGAATGGTTTCAGGAATTTTGGAACACCCTAAAATGGCAAAGGTTGTCATATAAACTAGGAACTTAAAAATTTAGTGTGTGATTATATTGGAATTTATTGCAAGTTCTTGCAGTGTATCAAAGTGAAAATTAAACTGGAAATGAGATGCTGTAAATAGGGGAAAATAATGGTTTATACAGACAAACCCAGAAAGTAGGAAAAGAAGTGGATGGGAAGAGAATTAGAAAATTCGGCAAAGGGCTAAATATACCCCTCTACTTTCAAATATTGTTTACCTGTATACCTCGTTATACTATTGGGCTACCTATACCCCTACCGTCATACTATTGNGAAGAGAGATAAGCAGTTGGCGGGGACCATCCGTTATCGGTCCATATTGGGTAGATCTACCCCTCTCATCCTCTGATCCTTTATCTACCGTTCAATCTATTGATTTTCTTTCTTCTCGACTGGCCTATTACGCACTCGGGCCAATCTACTACACGCTAATAATGGTCTTTTGGATTTCATCTCCTACAAAAATAGCAAGTGGTTGGCCGTTCGATCGAGTCCATCCCTTGAAGTCGTACCCTCCCAGTATGCGTGAGTCTTCCGCCGATTGACAGAAATGCCGGCCGGAATTCGAGAACGGTCCATCCCACCATAATGGATCTCTCCTACCGCTACATACTAGTGGTTATCTATACCCCTACTGTCATACTTTGAAATAAAAATACCCTTATTTTGGATGGAGTGACATGTGGCAACACCAGATTAAAACGACCCATTTCTTCTTTTTTTTTACCCGACCCGTTTTTAAAAAAAACCACAACCCGACCCCTATTTTCATTTTTTTCCAATTTTTTTTAAAATTTCAGTTTTTAAAAAACGAAAATATTTTGTTAAAAAACAAAATATATTTTTTTCTGTTTTTACAAATTTGTTTTTCCAGTTTTTACAAAACAAAATTCTTTTAAAAAACTGAAAAAATGAAAAAAAATATTTTTCAAAAACGAAAATATTTTGTTGAAAATAGTTTTTTCATTTTTTAAAAAACGAAAATATTTTTTTTTCTATTTTTTTTAAAAAAATTCACTTTATACAAATTTGTTTTTTCAATTTTTACAAAAAGAAAATCTTTAAAAAAATTGAAAATTTTGAAAAAAAAACATTTTTCAAAAACGAAAATATTTTTTTCAGTTTTTAGAAAACGAAAATATTTTGTTAAAAACTGGAAAAAAAATTCCAGTTTTTACAATTTTTTCAGTTTTTACAAATATGTTTTTACAGTTTTTACAAAAAAATATTTTTTGTTAAAAAACGATTTTTTTTAGTTTTTACAATTTGTTTTGCAAAATCTTTTCAGTATCTACTCAGTTTAAAAAAAACGAAAATATTAAAGAAAATTCTTTAAAAAAACTGTAAAATGAAAATATGGTTCGGGTTGTGGGTTTTTTGTAAAATGGGTTGGGTAAAAAAAAAAGAAATGGGCCATTTTATCTGGTGCTGCCACGTGGCACTCCATCCAAAATAGGGGTATTTTTGTTCCAAAGTATGACGGTAGGGATATGGATAGTCCAATAGTATAACGAAGGGTACAGGGAAACAATATTTGAAAGTAGAGGGGTATATTTGGCCCTTTGCCGTAGAAAATTTGTTACCTTTCCTTTCTTGAGAGGATTTGAATAGCAAAATTGAATCGACTCTATATAGTTGAATTTATAACCAGAATTTGACATTCCATCAACTTTTGCTAACCCCAGATTCTATTTTTGTAATTGATATGTTCTATCATGTCAGCTCCTTGTAAAGAATTGTGATAGGATTGTAGTGGTGAACTTGTACGACTATTAACAGTTAAAGTGGTTTATGGAATCCTTTTTTTTTCAATTCTCGAGATAGCACGTTCGTGGTGGTTTATGGCATCATATGCTTTCTACCCCCACTTTTACCATTACTTTCTCCTATAAAATATGTTATTTGTGAGATAAAAACCATGGGACACACCAGGTTTCAAATTTTCAGTAGAGGCAAAAAGGTTAAGTGTTATTGTCTCATTTGCTTAAGTCTTGGTGGCCAGAGTTACTCAGTACTTATCTTGGTGGAAGATAACAGGTACCTTATAGAGTTGAGGTGCATCTGAAGCTAGCCTTGGGCACTGCTGTTATAAAGAAAGTATTGTTTGTGTTTGATACAACATGTTGTTAGGGGATTGCTATTTTGAATATTGCAAATTTACAATCAAAAATTGAAATAACATGGCATTGTTCTCTTTCCTTTCCTTTAATCATTGCAAAGCTACAATTGAATTTTGTAATAGTACTATGTTCTCACTTGATCTTTTTGGTTCCACCAGTGAATTCTTTTGACCCTATATTATATGATGTTATTTAACTGCAACGGAGAGAATGCTTCAATTTCAAAATATTGTTTATGCGTTTGATTAGATTTGATGATGAAGAAAATGAAAATGAGAGTGGGTTGATATGTTTGCAAGTTTTTGCAGTGTGTCAAATTGAAATTAGCCTGGAAATAAGATGCAGTAAATGCATTTTGGCTATTGAAGTAGTTTATGAAGAACCTAGAGTGGAAAAATATCAATATTTTAGAGACATAACTAGAAAGGAGGAAAAGAAGGTGGAGTTAGCTCCAGAACTATGTCTATGCTAGAACTAAGGAGCTAACAAAATCCAAAAAATTGTCAACATTGTTTACAGGGGAATGAAAATGCCAGCTAAACAATCTAACTAAGCATCCAGCCTTAAGAGTGTAAGTTGGAGTTGAGATCCCATCAAAGCATCTGCTATTTCTTTCAGTCCAGACACTCCAAAAGATTACTTACTTCATCAAAAAAGAGGATAAAAAATTTTCTTACCTTTTCTTTGTTTAGAGGGTTTGACAAGAAAAACAGAATCGACTTTATCATGACTTCCTAACCAAAAATTGACATTCCATAAACTCATATGGAACCCCAGAAAATCTGTTTTGTAATTTCTATGATTCTATCATGTCAACTCTTTGTAAAGAATTGTAATTATATACGAGTTTCAGATGAAAACTTACTTCTTGGAGGTCACTAGCAAATTTTGGTAGTCTGGATCTAGGTAACAGTTAAAAGAATTGTACGGCCTCCTCTTTATGTACTCTCAAGATAGCATGTTAGTGGTCGTTTAATGCATCCTATGCTTTCTACTTCTATTTTTACTACTATTACTTTCTCTTCTAAAATATGCTGTTCGTACACGTAGTTATGGGATTGTGACTGATCATTGCAAATTTACTATCAGATTTTGAAATAGCCTGATCTCTTTTTTCCATGAAAATTAAATAAGAACTTAGTCTTATCTTCCATATTGTTATAGGTTATGGGAAGGAAAGCTTCAGCATCTGAACTTTTGCAATCTCTGGAGAAGCAGTCGTCTGGTTGTAGGGAATGGAACAAACCACCTCCAGGTGTCTTATGATATCTCTCTTTTCCTCATTCTTTTTCGCCTCTCTTTGTTTCACCTCATTTAATTGATGTGTAATTCTCCGATCTGTCTTAACACCTGACTCTTTGAGAATCATTGTTGTGCTTCGTATATATGATTCTACAGACATAAGCTAACCTGTAACATACAAGAGATTCTCCTGCACCCATTTCCATTTCCTTCCTATTAATTGTTCACACTTGATATGTACTTCTTGTGGTATAAACCCAAACAAATCTTTAATCTCTGTAATTCTTGTGCTTTGAATGAAGAATAGGCAATAAATGAGAGAAGTATGCCTCAGTGTAATTATGATAAGCTTTTATATACTGGAGAATCAGTATGGGGTCTACCGCTACAATCCGTTTGTTTGACAGTTCCATAATCATGAACAATTGCTTTCAATTCTAGGTGCTAACTTCATGAAACGTGATGTTTTTCCTTGTATATTCCGCATTTACACTGACATAGCAATGTCTTTATCGTGAGGTGTAGGGGTATTCATAAAAATCCGAAAACCCGAACCAAACCGAAAACCAAACCAAACCGACCAAAAAAACCGATACTTTTTGGTTTGGTTTGGTTTTGGTTTTAAAATTTAAAAACCAATCAAATTTGGTTTGGTTTTGGTTTTAATTAAAAAAAACCGAACCAAACCGAATATAGGAGTAGCTATTTTAAATTTATTATTACACCTATATACTTTTATACAAAGTTTTAAAAAATTTATAGTAAATATTAATCGTTTGCACTTTTAGTATAGTTCTTTATCTTTACATTCTAGTTTAGTTGGTAGTTTTCTTTTGTTAAGTGTAAGAATCTATTTCATGTTAAAAATAATATATTTTTAATTGAGTCCTTAAATTATTCATCACTATTGATTCAATTATCATCAATATATCTTGGTAAATAATATATTTCTCAAAGGACAATTGATTTGATAGTGTTACGTTGAAAATGTGGTCACCGAAATGTGTGTTTGGTAGTGTATATCGTATATTTAAGAAAAAACCGACAAATGACCGAAAAACCGACATAAACCGAATCCAGAAAAAACCGACTTACTTGGTTTGGTTTGGTTCTAATATTTGAAAAAACGACTTAGTTGGTTTGGTTTCTTTTTAGAGAAAAACTGATCCAAACCGAACCATGAACACCCCTAGTGAGGTGTACGAGAAACTAGTGTCTAACACATGTCATTGAGCAGCTGATGTGACGAAAGATAGAGAAGGTGCAGGGCATTGCACATCCAGTAAGGAACGCGAATCACTTTTTCAGAATAGAGTGGAACCATGTCCGCTAAGTTCTTCTCTCTTCTATGGTGGTCAAGAGGACATGTACGTCAAGTCATCCGATGCTCAAAAAATGGTTGCACATACTTGTGTGAGTTCTTTTTCTTGAAACTCATCTTCACAACTAAAAAATGCAATGCGATGATACTAACTCCTTGTGATGTATTTGTAAATAATTCAGTACAAGAAGGAAGGAGGAGAATATGATTCTGGTGGAAACAACCAATATAGTGCTTCTAGAGGGAATTGGTGGGAAGGTATGCATGTCGTTAGAGTAATAATATTGCGATGGTTGCGAGTAATCATGAATGGATGCTAAGTTTCTGCAAATTCTTGTATTCAGGGTCACTTTATTACTAGAACCTGACCACGGAGCCCCAAAGACATGTGAATTCCCATATATTTAGTAGAGGTAAGTCAGCGAGGACTTTGAACTCTATTCCGTGGATCACATGTGCATCTCTGATGTTGGAACCTTTTATCTTGAATAATGCATCTCTTTCTTTTAATTATGGTTGTCTACTTCAATATTGCTTATTCATCAATACAAATCTGTGAATAGATTCACGCTGAGACTTTTCTCCATTTGTTTTTTCACTTTGTGTGTGTGTGTGTGTGTTGGGGGGGGGGGGGGTGTTTGGGGAAGGGAGATTGGAAAAGAAAGGGACGTTCTTTCCTAAATATGTCTTGTTTATCTAAGATAGTGTGCAAGTGTATGATGATGTTGTTTACAGTACACATTTTATTTTCTTATTTTTGCCACTTCCTGCAACATGGCGATACTAGTTTGCTGAGTACTAACTGATTTTTATTTCCTATTTTCTTGATCAATTTGCAGGAGTTCCTGAATTCTTGGGAGCAGGTTTATTTAGTCTTGTTGAAGACGACTACTACGGCCATGTGTTGACAGACTCCAAGTTTTTATTCTGGGTTCTCTTGATGGTTATTTGAACCCTATATGACATGGACCTTTTTACTCTTTTTGGCTCAGTGCCTTACAAAGCAGGGATTTTGGGAACTATTTTAACATCTTTAACTCTTTTAACACTGCATATGCAATTGAACTATGTAAAATTCTGAATAAGTTCTTGGCAAGACTTGCATGGGCATATAGAATTGAATTAAGAACCTGTATCAATCAGACAGGTTTTGTACCTAAAAATGATCATCATATCTTCTGATTATTTTTCATTATTTGAAAGCTTGAGATGCAAAGTATAATTCATTTCATATGTCGCTGCCATTTTTGGTGGCAGTGAATAAAGTTAAGCCCCTCTCCCTTTCTTGCTGTAAAATTTTCTTTTAGTTAGGCTAGGTGATTTCATCATTCGCCTAAACTTTGGTGAATTTATATGGCAAAAGGTAGCAGTCAATTGGTTGGTGGATATAATCGCAGTGTGCGAATACCACTATTATGAAATAAATAAAACAAAATAATAAGCACAACTACTCTAGGCGCAAACATATACTGCTTTATCTCTTTGGTTACAGCGATAGACCCTGTAATGCTGACAAGTTTGTAACCATTACAACATTCAAGATGGCTTCAAACGGTGTGTGATGAGGGTTTACAAATATACTTACTGCATTGTAGAAGCCTGCCAATTGAGTACCTCCATTTCCAGCAACTAGTACGGTAACAACAACAACAACAAAACCCAGTTTATCCCACAAATAGGGGGTTTGGGGAGGGTATTATATACGCAGTCTTACCCCTACTTTATACAGGTAGAGAGCTGGTTTCCGGTAGACCCTCGGCTCCAAGCAAACATGCAAATGATAACAATATGGAGAAAAAATACAACTAGTACGATAACACTGTCCATTCAATTCTTTATGAACATCTGCTTGAGGTTCTTCAACTCAGCCATAGGGTATTCAAAGTCTGCCCCAAAACGTTAAGATAAGAACAGAACTACCCTTCTTGTTCTTCTTTTAATAACCAAAACATTCACAAAAATATGACACGGACTGGGAAAAAGGTTCCCAAATTAGCAAGTGATTCACCTATTTACTCGGGCAAAATAAACGAATCACGATGGTTTAGATGTAAAAAATGCCTCAATTCAACCAACTTTAAAGGGGAAGTAGATAATATCATCTCTCCACAAAATGTTCAAGATTCAAAGCTTAGCTATAGAGGAATTAATTGAATTGACATCAGTTTAAACAGCAAAGTACCTCATATAAACTAGAGTTTGCATTTCGTTGGAAAAAGTGTCACCAATGTTGAAGGATTTTAAATCAACACTTTAACAAACCTGAACTGTTAAAGATGTAAGAGGCATCACTTTGCCATGACAAGGTATTCCGATCAGTGTTTCTGTTTCCTAAAGCAAGTTTCTTTGTAATACCAAAAATGGAGATGAGTGTAGGACTGAGTTCTTTTTAAAGGGGTTGAGGAGTGGCGGACTTGATTCTGCTTCCTAGGGCAATTTCTTTGTAATTGATCTCCAAAAATGAGATGGCAAAAACAAAAATTACCGCCGTTGACGGGGATCGAACCCAGGTCACCGGCGTGACAGGAGGAAATACTCACCACTATAGTACAACAAACTTGGTGTTACCCTTCCTATTACAAATTTATATAACCAAAAGCTCAACAATATAAATTTACCAAAATTTAAACACAACAAACTAATCCAAGATTTTCGTCTTCAGAAATCAAAGAGTTTCCACCAATCAGTTCGCCATAGTATCTTGAAAGTTCCTCATATATAAAACGAATTTCAATCATGTACACTTATCATATAAAGAATTTTTACATCATTTAATTTAGCTGTAAACTCGCATTTAAAAGTTATTCTGTTTGAAGGAAGTGCAAATGTACAAGTTTTTTGCTTAGACTCTTTTAGTAAATTGCTCAATCTTTATCTGATAATTAAGCCACAACTGGATTAACCGAAAAATCATCATCGCACAAACAAATTAATTCTATTTCATATGATTAAATGGATAGGAGTCATTGAATTTGAATAAAGTTCCACTCTCCCCTTTAGCCGTGCAAATGCACAAAGAATCTCATCATATACGCAATTCTTCATTATTCAAATAGAAAGTGACATCTAGTCGTAATGAATGGTCATCATCGTAATGAATGGTCATCATCATTTGGTTTCAGAACTAAAAATATCTCAGTTCTTTTATCACATTTTATCGAATGATACTACCAAAGTTTGTGGTAGAGTTGCAATTATTTTTACATCCTGTCTCATATTTGAGTGCTAGAGTCACATTTTATCAAATGATACTACCAAAGTTTGTGGTAGAGTTGCAATTATTTTTACATCCTTAACCAAAAGTCTCATATTTGAGTGCTAGAGTATAAAATCGCTTTTGGTAGGGACCAATTTAACCTCCAAAGCAAGACTTTCTAGCACAAATTTGGATTAATCGGCATGGAGACTAGTGAATTAGGGTAGTTTGGTCATTTCTCTATTACAATAAAGGAGTCGGTTAAGTATATGTTAGTACACAGATATTTTTGTAACGAACTGAGATTGAAAAATTGTCACGACCCAAGTTCTCCCTCTGTGAACTGTCGTGACGGTACCTAGTCTCTACGACTAGGTAAGCCTAAGAATTTACGAAAAAAAGGAAACAAAGATACGAAACTAGCAATTTACGGGTAATATGGAAAGTTTAAGATACTGCTTAGCATATACAATAACAACACTCTCAATCAATATTAACACTCCCAAAATCCGGAATCTCATGAATCACAAACTAGAGGAAATACATAATGTCTAACTCCGGAAGTCTAAACAAAATAATTACAGAAGGTCTATAGCTAAAAGAGAGAATAGAGAGGGACTTCTCGGTCTGCGGACGTGGCAGATATACCTCGAAGTCTCTGAGAATCGCCTCGCCTCACTGATAGTATGGCTGAGCCGAAGAACCTGGATCTGCACACGAAAAACATATGCAGGAAAGGGCATGAGTACACCACAGCGGTACCCAGTAAAGTGTCAAGCCTAACTCGATCGAGTAGTGACGAGGAAGGTCAGGGTCCTACTGGTTATATACATAAAACATGGTAAATAGTATGAAATGTGACAGTATAATTAAAGCACTAATAGTTAATAGAGAACAAAATCACAGAAAGAATGTAACTCAGTACACAGAGATAGCAACAGGGGATCTTCTAGGATATCGTCTCATAGTCCCAAACGTAAAAGTGTAGGGGATCTCCCGGAATACCAATCCGTAGTCCCAAAGTAAATACCCAGTACAGGGAAATCTCTCGGGTGTCGTCCCGTAGTCCCAAATATAAACGTGCATGGGGGATATCCCAGAATACCGATCCGTAATCCCAAAGTAAACATGCAGGGGGATCTCCCGGGATATCATCCCGTAGTCCCAAAGTAAACAAACAACAGTATCAAGAAAGAATCTACAGTTCTATTCGTGGATAAATAGGAATTCTACTATAAACATGTTGCATCGAATACAAGTAAGCAGTTAAAGCATGTAAGACAAATAGAACACATAAACATGATTTTCCTAAGCTAAACAAGAGGCTTCAAGTACGAGTATTGCTCAATTACAAGAAAAACACAGATATTTACTTAATAAAAATAGGATTTTTCAATAATTAGCATGTGTATGCCCTCTTCACCTCACGTACGCGGCACTCATATAACAACAATACCAAAATCCTAAGGGGAGTTCCCCCACACAAGGTTAGGCAAGCCACTTACCTCGAACCGGCTTAAAATCAATCCGAAATTACGCTCTTACCACGAGTATCCAACTCTAGGTGGCCCAAATCTAACCAAATTAATATCATAACGTAAATACAACTACAAACAACTAATTTAGCTAATGAAATCGAAGCTAAGGCAAGAAAATAGAAAAACGCCCAAAAATCCTCCCCGGGCCCACGTCTCGAAATCGGGTAAAAGTTATGGATTATGAACCCCCAATTCACTCACGAGTTTACTCGTACCAAAATTATCCAAATCTGATGTCAAAATCCCAATCAAAGCTCGAAATCTTAGTTGAAGAACTCTATTCCATTTTTTCTATTTTTTTACCCCAAATCCAAAATTAAATGATAAAATTAATGATAGATTAGTGGAATATAACTAAAATCAAGTGTAGAATCATTACCCAATTGATATCTCTGAAAATCCCTCAAAACCTCGTTCGAATCCAAGCTCCCAAACTCTAGTTTTGATAAAAATGGCTAACCCTCAGTTTTGAAACTTTATAATCTGCCCAGGTAAATCCTTCTTCGCGAATGCGGAAGGTCCCTCGCGTTCGCGAAGCACAACTTGACTTGGCCTAGAATTCCTTCATCACGAACGCGATGACCTAGATGTGAACACGATAGCCACTCTCTCAATCCTACGCGAACGCGGGACCCTCTTCGCGAACGCGTAGGCATAGGACCTCTCAGCTTCGCGAACGCGGAACCAACATCGCGAACGCAAAGCGTTAAATTCTCACCTGCCCTAGCTCCTCTTCGCGAACGCGAGAGCCCACTCGCGAACGCGAAGAAGGAAACCAGAACTGGAGACTTCTGCAATTTCTACAATCTTCTTCTTAAGTCTAAAGGTCCGTTAACCACTCGAAATCAACCCGAGGACCCCGAGACCTCAACCAAACATACCAACAAGTCCTAAAACACCATACAAACTTATTCCAACCCTCGAATCACAACAAGCAATGCTAAAATCATGAATCACCCTCTAATCCAAACCTAAAAAACTTGAAATTTCAAGAATCCTACAACCGATGCCGAAACCAACCAAAACAAGTCCGATTGACCCCAAATTTTGCACACAAGTCACATTTAGCACTACGGAGCTATTCCAACTTTCGGAATCGAATTCCGACCCCGATATCATTATCGATCCGGAAACTTCAAAAATTCAACTTTCGGCATTTCAATCCTAAATAAGCTACAGACCTCCAAAACGCAATCCAAACATGTCCCTAAGCCCGAAATCACTCAACGGAGCTAACAGAATCGACGGAATTACATTCTGAGGCCATCTTCATACTATTCCTACTACGGTCCAAATTCTAAAGCTTAAGCTCTCATTTAGGGACTAAATGTCTCAAAACACTCCAAAACTCAAAACGAATCTTTCCGGAAACTCACAATAGCAGAAACAAATACGGGAAAAGTAGTTAATAGAGGATCGGGGCATTAATTCTTAAAACGACCGGCCGGGTCGTTACAAAAATACAATTTGACTTCTTCTTCTTTTGTCTTCTCCTCT